TTGCAGTAGATCGATCGTCCTATATTAAATTAATATTGATGTTTTACCTATCAATTATCATTTAATTAGTTTAAATTCAATTGGTAGCACTGTACCGAAAGTGTTTTATTTAATCATTCATAGGCTAATTTAATACCACTAATCCTTTTTCGGACACTCACACATTCTTTAAAACAACAACAACAGTTAACAACAACTATACTTTCTCACGATCCGCCCTGGCTAGCTGGTGAGAACAATGCAAACATGGAATGAATAGCCAACGATCGCGCCACCTATATGTGTGTATGTACGTACGTGTTCGTGTGTGTACTGTAGTAATCTTGAAGTTGGTTCGTTCGTAATCACTCAAGCATCACGCGCTGAAGAGGCTCATGTTTTGAAAACAAAAGCAGCTGACCCTTTTCCATTGTTTCTGGCTCTAGTTCTTTTGTGAGATTCATCGATTGGTATTAGCTACTACTGCAACTCTAACTTATTCAAGGCCTTCTTCTAGCAATCTAGAGCTGAAATCTACAGGCTTCCACTGCACTCAGCTTATCATAATCAGCTAGATCTAGTACTAGTTGCAGGCAACTCAGTTCCAACCAACTTTAGTCAAGTACAGTCTACAGAGAGTGGTGCAGATGTAGGCCAGGTACGTAGAAAATCTGTATTTTCTAAGAACTCTATGCCTAGCCTCCTAACTAAGATTAGTTAGGAGTAGGACTACTACTAGCCTAGAGCATGTTAAGTAGACCTCTACAGGCATATAGTATGCTAGAGTATAATTCCCTAGGTCTATACTACTAGACTCTATCTAGATCTGGTAACTAATATCTAGACTAGGCTAAGGCCTAACACTAACACTACAGTAAGGGCAGGCTTAATTATAAATGAAAAGTGGCCCAGGGGCGGTATTATTTCTAATATTGTTGTATCTTTTAAGATAAGATAAAGTTGGTATTCTGAACATTGTTGTAACTTTTGTGTTATCTTTTGTTGTATCTTTTCTCTCATCTTATTGGCCGCGCCTGCGCTCATACTTTGGTGCGCTTGTAATGTGCATGTTATTAATAAAGTGGCATTTAAATCCTCATTTGCATATGCGCACGGGAGATAATATGTCGAGATAATTGGTATTCTGAAAGTTGTTGTATCTTTTATCTTAATCATCTTATCTTGCATGGTATTTGCAACAATATTTACAACAGGTAGGGGGTTGTTGTATCTTTCGTGCCAATAGACGAGTTAGAAGAAGATTGTGTGTTGACCGTAAACATCACAGATGAGAACTTTCTAAGATATTACATGCTAGGATATGACGACTTTAATGCTCTCATCTTAACCAATATAGTAAAAGCGTGATTTGTCTTCATGATCCACATTCAACAGCGCATAATGATGACGCGCGTAATAAGTGCTCAAATAACTAATTACGCCCAAGATTAGTATGCGCTAGGCGCATCTTCAGATATGGCATAAAGTATTCCTATTGGTTGACCTACTTATCATGCTTATTTAAAATAGATTTTGATTGGTAGGGTCCATAAAAATGGGCGTGTCATCAATGGTCAAAGATAAGATAGAGGCGGTCCTTCAAGAGATAACATAGGGATAAAACAATGTTCAGAATACCAACTTACAACTATATTAGCGCTGTGTTATCTCTTGAAGATACAACAAAAGATAACACAAAACTTACAACAATGTTCAGAATACTGCCCCAGGACTGCATCATGCATGGTTTTGAGAGGGTGCTCTGTGATGTATCTATACTAATATAGGCCTACACTCGTATAGATAGAACTAAGTTAAAGACTAAGTCTAAGACACTGAGTCTACTCCAAAAATAATTTTTACGTTTAATAGGCCTTGAGTCTAGATGCAGAAAAACAAGAGAAACCGAGCAAAACGAGGTCACTCTAGAAAACTGGAAAAGAAATATGCAAGGCTAGATCAATAGTCGATAAGAAAATACTTTTTTAGCAAGGAGCTGTGGATCGGTCTCCCAGAAAACGTGGCAGCTGGGTCGGTCAACTCATTTAAGAATAGACTTGATAGTCACTGGTCAAAGAATGCAAGCCTTCTGTATGAGCCGGTCTAGACTCTAGTCTAGGTGTTGTCTGTTGTCTTATGTTATTACACAGCCTCCTCCCTCCACAAATAGCAGTAACCATGGAAGAATCGTGGATCGATGAACAGGCTTAGACCTAATACCTGTTCACCACCGTGTATTAAAGTAAAGTAAAGTAAAGTTTTAAAAAAAATTGAGTAAAATCGGATATTAAACTAAAAAACCGATAAGGAATAGATTTCTAGTAAGTTATGATTTTTTTTTTAAAGTATGAAAAACTGTGGAACTAAAATCACTACACAAATTGCCAATTTGGGTATCAGTTTATGCCGTCAATGCCTCACTAATTGCTTTATATATTTGTATCCTATTAATTTCCCTTTTTATCCCCAAAAACTTGATTTCGCCATGCCTTTGCTCAGGTATATGATTTGTATACAGTGTAGGTCTAGTCTAGATCTAATAATATAGCGTGCATGACATTTCACAAAATCTTTTATGAACTTTTAAGATTTGGTACTATTTTCTGAATATTGTATATTCAAAATCAATGTTTTTGATATAGGGCCTAGGCCTATATCATGTACATGTACATGTAGTTTATCAAAATTCACATTTTTCATGATTTAACAGAATTTAAAAAAAAACCCTCTATATTAATGCATCCAAGCGATACCATAGGGCCTATTACTATTATAACTAGAATGATGGTGTGAGAAAATATGATTTTTACTTTTAGGGGAAATTATGGAAATTAATATTATCAATATGAAGGAAACAATAAGTGGATAGTGAGGCAATGACGTCACAGACTCATGAGTGAGTTTCCAATTCGTCTAGTGATTTTCAAAGTTTTTCATGTCGTTTAAAAATAAAAATTCATTGCTTTATTATTAGTTATCCGATTTTGCTCAAACTTTTTTTTGACTGGTTTCTCTGTTTTTTCAGTTCTATTGAAATTAATTTATTTTTGGAGTGGACTTGCCCTTTAAGTTCTATACTAGCCTAGACTCTAATAGGTCTAAACTAGCTATATAGTAACTAAAGTAAATACTGAAGTAAAACTATGTAGATCTATTCTAGGCCTAGATCAAATTATCACCTATTTTTTATTCTGCCTCTTTTATTAACCCGAGTCCTGACTGAGGCTAAAGATTCTGACACTTTTCCAATTGCAATATGATCAATTGATTATCATTTATTGTTTGGAAAGAAAATGCTTGATCCATCACCAATCCAAAGGCAAATTAAGCCAAGGAAAACACTCTAGTCTCTAGCCTATTTGTATACCGGTAGACCCTATTGCCTTAAATTAATAAAAAAATAAAATTATACCAGTAGTTCTAGTAGGTCTAGTCCAGTACCAAATTGACAAAATAAAGAAGGGAAACCCGGTTAGTACTTATTATAGAAATACTTTGAGCTGGAAATGTTGATCTAGACTCTAGAGAGTAGTCGGGATTAACATTAGCACACACATTGACATGATATAATGTACATGAATTCTTCAGTAATAGCTACTCATGTATCATTTTTAAAATTATGAACAGTGCGCTACCACGTACCAGTTCACTTTGCACACTCTACCAAATATTGATGAGATTTCAAGGTTAATTTCTTTGGCATTGTAACCTTTCCTTTTCTTTTGTTTAGAGCAAATTAATGAATCTGTGTTTGAAGAAGTAAAAAAGTGAATAGATTCATTTATTTTCTTCAAATTGAAAAAGTTGTGTCGCAATATAGCCCCTCTCCACCTTAAGAGACCAACAGAAATTCATATTAGTTTGGTTGAAGGAATTACGGTAGCCCTGATTTTCAAATATTCCTCAATCTCTTGTAAAAATTTGAATTAAACAGACAAAAGTTATACGTGGCAATGAAAACTAAATATGTTTCTTTCAATTTAATTTTGGCTGAAGGGGCAATGCAAGTGTTACTCCCTTTAATGCCAATAATTGTAATGTCTTAAATCCAATTGTGATTTGTGAATGTTGTAACAGCCCTATTTACATTTCTTTTTTACTTTATTTTTTCTTGGGACAACTGTGAAGTTCCTATTGCAGGAAGGGTATTAAATATTGAATGTGAAATATCAGAAATAATACAAGGGAGTTGAATATTTTAGAAACTTGTCAACTAACATTTAAGGCACTGAAAATGCTCTTCAGAATATTACATTGTAAACACTGTTTCATAGCTGTGTTGAGAAGTTCCTATATTTGAAAGGATGATAGGGTAGTGTCATCTTTAGGAATTTTATTACAATTTCATGACACCCATGCAGGGCCTTTAAAAGGAGATGGGTCCCTCTTGCAGGCTCAAAATATAAAGTTTTGTAAATTCAATGTTAAACAAGTAATAATATTAACTAAAAGCTCCTCTTAAGAGATTAGCACTGGAAATAACCTTTACCGGTATGTTTAATTATGTAATTGTTAGCAGTTTTCTACTCCAATAAATCATTCTGATGTTTCAGACCCTAGTACTGCATACTTGCATAGTCTTACATTTTGTGCTGAGCAAAGAAAAAATCATTTTAATTTTGTTCTTTACATGAAGTGGGTCACTGTTGTGTTGTGTACAAATGATACCCTTCACAGATCATTTTATGTAAGCTTTTAACATAGAAAATTGAAGTCAGTCAGTCACTCCAAAGTGTCTAAATGTTAAGTCTACAAAGTAAAGAGATTTCATTGCTTCATTTTAATTCTAGGTCACTGCTAACTTCTGCATTTCACAGACAGGACATTCATGTATGTGAAAATTAAATACTCATGAATAATTCCTGCAAAATTCTACAGCAGTTATAACCTGCAAAAGGGATACTCTACCATGGCATGGGTACAAGTAGAATCCAGATTGCTAGTTAATAAGGAAAATGCTATAAGACCAGATATAAATGTAGCTTACTGTATTTGATAATTTGAATTGAACTTAACAGGTCTACAGCCCCCTGGAAATACTGTCACAGCTAGAGTTTGAAAGTGATGCTGATGAGGATGCCCAGCCTTTTTCTGCCAGTAACTCAGGTATGTGTTATTCCATGAATGGCTCTAAAAAGGAGAGTGAATGCACAATGTACCCCCCTCCCCATTTTGATTGTGTTGCATTAACATACACTAAATGACATCGAGGCCAAGCTGGAATTTTTTTGCAGAAAGTAAATTTGGTGATTTTAAAATAGCAGTAGTGTTATAGAAATTTATATGAAAACATGTTCTGTTAATTTTGAAAAGGAGAAATGAAAGAGTCTGATTGAAGAATATGAAATTTAGATATCTTTGATTACCGGTAGAATATATAAAGGTAAAGCCCCTCTGAAGTGTTGGGAGCCCCAAATATGCCAAAAATTTGATGGCCAAATTTCACTTAAATTGTAACATATTAATGTGAAAGGAGATATTATTATTATTATATCAGCCAAAATTATTCTGTGCACCTTTTATTTAGTCAAAACTGGTGGTGAGACTTTATTGTCTGTTTTCGGTGGAAGATGCTGCTCTTTCGATTGCCTGGTGATAGTGACACGAGCAGATGCAGCTGCAGCCCGCTCAGCCTTCAAGGAGAAATCTTTGTATGATCAGCGGATATAGCTTCTGAAGTACTTCAGGACTCATTCTTCTCAAGCTGAAGATGCGAGCTTTCAGTTCTCATTCAGCATTGGTCTAGAGCCGGTGTGTGCTACAGCCTGGTACCAGGTGATTGGAATTGTGAGATCAAGATTCTACTACTAGCAAAAACGGTTCATAGGTGAGTTTTATTATTACAGGTAGTGATTACAAATCGATAGTAGGATGCCATCCTACGAAAGTACTTTTTTGATATTTTTAATTGTTGACCTACAATTTAGCATCATGGAATTAAGTCTTTGATGTAAAAACACAAGATGTTGCGGTATTTCTATTCCGTTTCATTCCTTCATGCAAATTTTGTTTCCTTTTTTTTCAACACACAATTTTGCTACCGTACAAATGATCATGTAGATTGATTTCAGTTCCATCTCTTGTTCTTGTTGTCTCGATCAGTATTTTCTTCGCACCTGCAGACGTGAAGGATCAACCTAAGCAGAAAAATGTGGGTTGGGGAAGGCTAAAGTATTCAAAGGTAGAGCTTAGCGGAAATTGGCGTGGGGCCTACGGCAAAGCCCAAAAATTGTCAAGGGGCAGGATCTCAGGGGTATGGGCATTTAATTATGGTCGATGAGCATATTTTGATACCTTATTCATGACTCTGGCAGGTCACTAATTGGCCTAGGGTCCAGGGGGCAGAGCCCCCAGAAACTGAGAGGGTTTTAGGCTTTAAATTACCACCAAATAGGGCCCCATCAAACTCAGGGATCTTGGGGCATTTTATAATGGTCAGATAAGTATTTACGGGCCCGCATTGGGGCCCCTGGTGGGGACAAGGGAGCAGAGCCCCCGGGCACTCAGGGATTTTAGGGATTTAATTCAGAAGAGCATATTTTGATACCTTATTTGTGACACTGTTAGGACACTAAATAACGTGGGGTCCAGGGGGCGATGCCCTCAGAAACTCAGGGGTTTTAGGCTTTAAATATGACCACCAGATGAGCATCCAGGGGCTCGCCTTAGGGCCCTAGGTGGGGCCAAGGGGGAGCTCATGGGTTTTAGGCATTTAATAACAGTAAGATGAGCTTATTTGATACCTTATTTGTGACACTGGCAGGACACTAATTGGCATGGGGTCCAGAGGGTTAAGCCCCCAGAAGCACGTAGGCCTCTATTCATGCTTTGTTGTGTACTAAGAAATAAAATCTAGGAATTCTGTGAAGGACCCTGATCTCTAAATATGTTATTATTTCCAGTCAACCCTGTTTTGAAGCTCAACTATTTAAAAAGATCACTAAAAATTTCAATTTTTAGAGCGGTTCGCATGTTACTGAACCTCTTTATGATGACCACCTGTCCACAAAGGCCACTTTTGCCAGCTTCCTCAGGAAGGTTGTTTGACAAGTTTGACTGTACTGTGAATCCTCAACAATATGTACTGAATATATCCTCAATAGTGCTTTTCTTTTCCCTAATTTATTGTTTCAGCAGCAGTGAGAGACAGAAATACTACAAGCACATTCAAAAAGCGAAGGCAAGCCCAGACAAATATTTGAGCATCATCATCGATGGGATATGGATCAACACTGCACAGCAATACCGCAACTACACCCAGCACCCAAAGCCCTAAGCCACACGGACCAACTCAACACACACATCACTGGTGCAATTGTAGATGGAAGTGGTCAACACACTCATATCGACATCAAAGAATACCTTCATGACAGCAACCTCAACATTCTCATCCACTGCACCGACTCCCTTCCACCAACTTTGTATCTCCGATTAGACAAGACAGCAAGGGAGAACAAGAATCGACACGTCTTTGCCTTTCTCTCTCTCTTAATGGAGCTCATTATCTTCAAAAAGGTGAATAAATCCCTTTAAATAATCTCTATATTCTATAAACCTAGGCTAATTGCAATTTCCTATTTCATGTTACCTATTGAAAAAATCTTGGCAATAATGGCAATACTTTGACAATGTCATTAAATTGAAAGGAAACCAAAAGCTGGCTGCCTTCTCTTTGTTTTTAAAGCAATAGGGTACTTGAAAAAAGGGTGTTTTTCTTTTCGCGTTCTTTAAGATTTTTTTTTACCAACCTGTGTGTGTGTGTGAATCTCACACACAAAACCAAAATTGAATAATTATACTACTTATTAGCTGGACCTAAAAGATTTCACAAAAGAATCAATATTTTAATGCCTCTGCTACAAAAACTGATTGAGAGATTCCCGCCAAACCTGGGTCATGTTGTGGGGCTAATTATGTATGCCTATAATTAGCATGTGAACGCATTATCATAAGAACTGACAGATGGATTACTATCAAACTCAGGACATGTATTTGTCTTGCAGAGCCATGTATATGAAAAATAGCTTGTAATCACGATATTCTGAGAACCTGTTAATGGATTGCAAACAAACTTGAATTAAAAAATTCTTCTGGTTTGGTTTGTAAAATCACTCTATGGCGGAGGCTTTGCGCAGTCTTTGTCCCTCCTTTGAACATAAGGAAGACACCAAAATCGCTGCCTCTGCCAGCGGATGCATTTCCATTGGGCGGCAACACAGATTGCGAAATCTCTAGTTGTTGTGTATTTTGTATAATACTCAATTTATTTGCTTAATTTTTATGGATTTATATCTGATATTTGTACACGCACTATATAGTGAACAGAAAACTATGTTATTAAGTTCCTTGAATACAAGATGAGTTCTGTGCACTTCTTTATTCATCTACAGAAGACGATGCAACAGTGAGGTGGCCCATTTGCGACTTAATGCTAGCAGGCACTCAACCAGTGAATGCTCCACAGCAGCAAGTGCATGCTGACATCACAGAGGAAAAACCATACAGACAGGTATTTTCTATCATGCAGATATTATCACATCAATCATAGACTACCATTATACTATAGAAGTGCTCAACTTCATTATTACATTCTTTCTGATGCAACCTAAAACACATTTCACTTTTGCAACCTCAAATTTTGATTTGTCGCCCCCTGAACCCCTGAAAATGTAAGAAGGAACACATTAGGAACCATACTTATCTTAGTTCCATAAATTACAGTTCCCTAATGTAAATACAGTATGAAAACAAAAACCTCTATATTTGGCACTGTTGAAGGCTTTATGTCATTGTTAACGCAATAACTTCAGACCAGATTAGGAGAGCATACACAAATTTGGCATGTATGGCTATGTCAGGATGATATGATCAAGTTTTGGGGTAGAAAGATCATTGGTCAAAGTTCATGAAACAATTAGATGCTAATACAACCAGAACTGAAAGATATATTTCTATCAAATTGGGTATCTTTAAATGCGATTACTGTTTAAAGGGAACTGGTAGCATTATTGAAGTTTGATGACAAAAAATGCTTAATTTTAATATGAAATGTTACTTATTATATTCCTACTACTGTACAAACCCTCTAAAATGCAAATTTCCTGAAAAAAACCCACAAACCACAACTATAAGCTTTTCTTTGAAAGTGGTATGTGTAAAATCTCCCTGCCAATTTTTGAATTCTCCCAACTGTTTTTCCTTGTAAGTATGACATAAAACATTGCTTTCAAAATCATTAATGACTCAAATGTTTAAAATGGTATAAAGAGTCTATACATGTATACCTTGCTTTGTAACAATTTAAATTAACCTTGAATTCAATTTAATTAATATAATGTAGTTGGGAGAATTTATAAATGAATCAGATCAGTTTTTCCCCATTTTAATTGTTGGTAATGTTCTGTTTTCACTCGAACTTTCAGATTGTCTTTAATTGTACAGCTAGCATTGAAGTCCTATCTTAGCAGTATTTTTATTTATCTAAACAATTTACCAGGTCCCTTTAAAGTTAATAAGTCTGAGGCAATTGTGTCATATGGGAAGCCATATATCTCAACTGTATGCAGTTAATTTTTTCTACAACTTGTAATTAACTTCCAATTATTCAAAGATACATGTACGGATAGTTAATACATGCGCACATATTACACATTAATAATAATAATAATAATAATAATAATAATAATAAATTCATATAGTGCAGCTTTTATACATTTCATTTGTTCAATCACCTGGTTTATGCTTGTCTGTTTGCTCAGGTTCATCTTGGACCCAATGCGAGGAAGGCTCAAGAGGACAGAAATACTGGAGGGAGATATGGTGGCCACCTACCGCGAGGCGTATAGCACACAATGACCACAGATAGGACAAGGACAAGATGTGGACAAGGTCAGGGAGGATGTCCTTGTACTAGAATGGTTTACAGGGACATTGGCAACAAAATGGAAGAAGATGATGGTTGCTGTCACAGGACAGCGGGACTGGAAGCAGGTTTGGGTTGAGACCATTCCAAGGGATAGTGTAATTCTCCTTCCTTTCACTCTGACAGCAAGAGACAAACTGCCACCTCAGTTAGTGATTCGATTGAAGGAGAAATATATGGATTATTTGAAGTAGGTATTCAGGCCTAGTTAAAGCCCTTCTATAGTGTTGGGACCCCCCCCCCCCCCAATTTGATGGCAATATTCCACATAGAGTGCGTACTGACATATGGTTTTCGATGAACACACAATTCTGCAAGGATTTTCATGACGCTAGTGATTGAAGACAAATTTTGGTAATAGAAATAAAGGAATTTCAATTTTTCTCTTTTAAGCATACAACTCAATTTTTAAAAAGATTTGTTTTTAAATCATCACTAAGATAACAAATGAACTTTCGAACATTAAGTTTTAAGTAACATGTATATGTGATAAATTGTTCGCCCTGAAACTGCACTGAAATATTTTATTCTAGTTCTTATCTAGAAAATATCAGAGGAGAGACAGACTAATTCCATGTCAACTGTAAATGTAAAACATTTTTTTCCCGTATGAGTATAAATTTATCTCAAAATTGTTTGCATATGGGATGTAGTCTTAACCCCCTCCCCCCCCCCCCCCCCCATCCCCCACCCCTGCTTATTCACAGGCTGGCTGAGTCGTTGCGAAATTTTCGGCGCGATTTTCAGATTTTAAAACCCCACCTTGGAAAAAGTCCTGCGTACGCCCCTGTAAGTTGGTATAAAGCTTATACCATTTAGTGCCCTGTTGGTTGGTATAATGCTTATACCATTTAGTGCTCTGTAGATTGGTTTAACGCTTATACCATTTAGTGCTCCTTGGATTGGTATAACGCTTATACCATTTAGTGCTCTGTAGTATACAAATAATACGCTGCCTTTGGAAGTTCTGGTTAAACCTATGCGCAAGAGGTGACTCCAATAGTACTATTTGCTGAGGGGTATATTTGTTTTATATCATGCATTAAAAATCTATTTAATTTTTTTTTTTTTTAATCGCATTTTTGTGAAAAAAAATAAAATTTAGAATTAAAAAAAAATGTCAATTTTTATCAAATTTTTAAAAAAATATTTTGAGTCGTTGCAAAATTTTTGGCGCGATTTTCAGAATTTAAACCCCCCCCCCCCCTTTGGATAAAATCCTGCGTACGCCTCTGTAGGTTGGTATAACACTTATACCATTTAGTGCTCTGTAGATTGGTATAACGCTTATACCAATTAGTGCTCTTTAGATTGGTATAACGCTTATACCATTTAGTGTCTGTAGATTGGTATAACGCTTATACCATTTAGTGTCTGTAGATAGGTATAACGCTTATACCATTTAGTGCTCTGTAGTATACAAATATACACTGTCTAGAGAGGTTCTGGTTAAAACTATCACAAGAGGTGACTCCAATAGTACTATTTGCTGAGGGGTATATTTGTTTTATATCATGCATTAAAAATTAATTAAATTTTTTTTTTTTTTTAATTTTTTGGAAAAAATTAAAATTTAGAATTTAAAAAAAATGTCTAATTTTATCAAAAAAGATTTTTAATATTTTGAGTTGTTGCGAAATTTTTGGCGCAATTTTCAGATTTTAAAACCACCCTTTGAAAAAAATCCTGCGTACGCCTCTGTAGGTTGGTATAACGCTTATACCATTTAGTGCCCTGTAGGTTGGTATAACGCTTATACCATTTAGTGCTCTGTAGATTGGTATAACGCTTATACCATTTAGTGCTCTGTAGATTGGTATAACGCTTATACCATTTAGTGCTCTCTAGATTGGTATAACGCTTATACCATTTAGTGCTCTGTAGATTGGTATAACGCTTATACCATTTAGTGCTCTGTAGTATACAAATATACACTGTCTGGAGAGGTTCTGGTTAAGACTATGCGCAAGAGGTGACTCCAATAGTGCTATTTGCTGAGGGATATATTTGTTTGATATCATGCATCAATTTTTTTTTTTTTTTTTTTTTTTTTTTTAAATCCTATTTTTTGGAAAAAAATAAAATTTAGAATTTTAAAAAAATGTCAATTTTTATCAAAAAAGATTTAAAGTATTTTGAGTCGTTGCTAAATTTTCGCCCTGTAGGTTGGTATAACGCTTATACCATTTAGTGCCCTATAGGTTGGTATAACGCTTTTACCATTTAGTGCTCTGTAGATTGGTATAACGCTTATACCATCTAGTGCTCTGTAGATTGGTATAACGCTTATACCATTTAGTGCTCTGTAGATTGGTATAACGCTTATACCATTTAGTGCCCTGTAGGTTGGTATAACGCTTATACCATTTAGTGCCCTGTAGATTGGTATAACGCTTATACCATTTAGTGCTCTGTAGATTGGTATAACGCTTATACCATTTAGTGCCCTGTAGGTTGGTATAACGCTTATACCATTTAGTTCTCTGTTGTTTGGTATAACGCTTATACCATTTAGTGCTCAGTTAATAAATGTAGCATTTATCATATCCCATCAATGTTACTGTATTAATAAGTGTCATATATCTTGTAATTTTCTTTTTGTGTTTGTATTTCTGAAATTATCATGTTATTTGTACTAAGCATTTTTTTAAATACTGAATGTCTTGCCTTACAAATAAAAATAAAATTACCAAAACAAATGAATGAGTGGCTGTTTTATTATTTGTGGCTTCTGTAATGCATTAACAACTCATGTGTAATTTATTAATTGATGATTTTATAATTCATGAACTTATTTAAGATTAAGCAGAACCATCATTAAAAGGGTAACAATAATTTGATTCTGGCTACTGGTATCTTTCACATAGCCTTGAAGAAAAGTAAAAGAGAAACCCAGAACCTGAAAATTAAACAATTTTGGTGTAAATCTGGATTTCAGCTGTCCAGATTGAAATAATTTGTTGTTAACATCATGTACCGAATATTGTCTACTCCTAATTTATTCTAAAGTTATTACATTTTAAGAATGAACATAGCAATTTTGTGTGTGTAGTCAAACATATTGGTTGAATATCTTTATTGTCCATTGTCTATAAATATGCTAATGTACCAAATGTACGAAATATTCACGAATGAATGACGAAAAAGCATTGACTTGAAATGAAGTAAATTACAGATGTTTTCTTTAATGTTGTTTTCACAACATCAGACCATCCTCCTAAACGTATTTATATTTCGGTCCTATCGATTCATGTAAAGCTTCGCCGCCATTTTAAATCAATGCACTATATAGAAAAGCTATACGCACAGCATGGCGATTTCGCACCAGTTCCATCAGCCAGATTTGAAGGTAAAACTCATTTTGCTAGCTCACATGATGCGTTTTTACTATTTTGCAGTTCGTATGGATTTAGAATGTTAGGAATCAAAACTTTGTTAGAATTTTTTTCTCCATTGCATTCAATGTAGGAATGGTTCCATCAAAATGAATGAATTCGATTAAAAAATTCAACTCAATACACATAGATCTGCATATTAGGTTCCATTGCTCTGAAATTCCAGCCGCTTACACAAAGAGAAAGAAGAGGCTCTGTTCCCAAATTGATTTGACAAAGTTTGCGAGAGCCCAAGGGGTATTTGCCATTCCAATAGTATTTCAATGAAGAAGAAATCACTTTTATCATTCAAATGCACTTGTTTGGTATATCTTAAACATTTTGAAAAAATATTTGACTAAGCAAATTAAGAGTAATAGACACACGATTTAAGGCGTAAAGAATGCAGCTAATATGATATGAGGCAAGTGATAAACAGTGCTCAACTCACATCATACCTATCTACTAATTTGCAGTTCGTATTGGTTTAGTCATGGTAGAAATCAAATCTCTGTTAGACAAAACAATAAGCCATTTTTGTTCCATTGCATTCGATTTAGAAAAGGTTCCACCAAAATGAGTTCACCCGGATTCTACCACAGCTATAATTTTACTTCACGAAACACTGTAAACTGCATCGCCTATATCCTGAGTAAAAATGAAAACAAGAACGAAGTCCATGTTACTTTTTTCCGACAATTTTTTTCTTATTTAAAACCTTTTAAAGACAGGAAACTTTCCGGTTTAGGATATAATTTGGCTGACAGACAGAAAATGAAACAGTTATCCTTATAATAAGAAGCCTGCGCAATGCATAACCCAAGTGGCCAAGTCAATATAAATGTAACAAGTATAGCTTGTGTAAAATAACGATACATCTTAGAAAACAGTTACGACGAATAAGGAATCATCGACTAGGCCAATTGAGGTTTCTGGTTCAAGGCGAATATCAAGCAATTTACTAATTTCTCCAGGGAAATTTATACGTGTCACTATTCGACCTTGGCCTACGGTGAAGGGGGGGGGGGGTCCTTTTAAGAAGCAACACTGGCAAAAACACATTGGATTATTTTTTATAATGGTATTACCTAGAAGGGTGGATTAATATTGATGCGAATTAAGGTTTCTGGTGTAGCTCATGATTTGGTGGACAGACAGATGACGCAATGGTTCAATGGTTGCTCAAAAAAAGACATGGCTTATTGAAATTAAGCTTTTGAGCATAGATCAAATATTCAACGTTTTTGGGAGACATCAGGCCGCCTAAGAATTCTTTTTCTTGTCATTATTATACTGAGCTATAATCTGAATATGCCTGCTCTCATTCCAATTCAATCACATTTTACGCCCTTTTCAAACGTCACACAATTTGGCAATAATCAGCAATGCAATTTACCAACTTAAATTCCGGTCATATTATGTTCCATACATGTACATGTATATTCTGCTGAAGTGACAATTCATTTGAGCAAATGGGTTTGTATACCGAAGACAAACCCGATTTCCAGGACAAAATCAATCGGTAAGATATATTTAATTTCACGGATTTCTTTTAACAATAACATATTAATTAGATATGAAACAGATTGTTTATTAATTGATTTTGTTAAAAATATGGCGCCTCTTATCAAAGCAAATATTTGGCAACTCCCCTGAACTCAAACGAGGAATATAAAATGGTTGATTATTCCATGAATACTGAGGTTTCAGATCTTGTATTTGGATGGAAGTTGTTAAACGGTATTTTCTTAAATACTCCATTGTATTCATACAATTATAACATTGTTAGTATTATCATTGTCATTTGTACTACATTTGTAATACTATTTTAATTATTAATTTAACATCTCCATTTTTATAGAAATATTATTAGTGTTATTATTATTACTATTATTATGGTTATTATTATCCTCTTTACATCAATGTTTACGATTATTATTATCATTACCTTGATTATAAACATTATATGTATTATTACGATTATTATTATAATCGTTATCATTATTTGTATTGGGGTGTGCAAAGGGATACAATACCATTAAGGACACAAATTGTAATATATGTTGCGGGGACGCGACCTTAATTAGACGCGTAATGTTAAGGGGCATATGTTACAGTATTTCTCGTCTTGGATATCCATCTTAATAAACTCAT